AAATATTTTTTTTTTCAAATAACTTTTATGTCTATTATTTTTTATCAGTTAATTTTTGTGTCAATTAATTTTTTAGGCCTAAATAAACATTTTGTTCTATACGTTTCTAATATTTTTCAAATATTTTTTTCAAACCAACACGTTTGGGGATTACATTTTATAAAAATTATCAAAAATCAATTTATTAATTTTTTTTAAATACAAACCAAAACGTTAACGTTACCAAACGTTTCACCAAACATTATCAACGTTTTTTTATTTGTTAAATTTTATCAATTTAATAAAAATTCCTTTATCTTGTATCATTTTCCTCAGCTTCATTGTTGCCCCTCACCCCTTCCTCACCCGTGAAGCTCATATTATTAGGGCTATTGATTGATGTATTTGACTATGAAATGACTAAATTGGCCCTCTTTCATAGAATGTCAAATTGCTATGTAAGTATAAAATGAAAAGGGCAATATCGTAAATGTTTCATTTTTGATCATGCACGTGAATGTTTCGTTTTTGACCGTGCACATGCATCAAGGGAATACTCATCACCACCTGCACTTACAGCCTCTGTGTCTGTTGATCGTGCACATGAATGTTTCGTTTTTGCCTGTACATAGGTAGTGAAAGTTGCGCACACATCATCGAAAGCCACTTGACCGTGACCTTTTAAAACGACCTCTGTCAGCTTGGCTATTTGTAAGGCCCCTCTTGTGATTTTTGCCCTTCGCTGGTTCTATGTATTCATCGCTGAATAAGTCAACATGAATGGCTTTAGTAGCATTACTCCCACCAGCTCCAGGGCTCCAAAATTTATTAAGCATTTCATCTTCTTCATCTGAGTCAAGGGCTCCTTGTGTGGATGCACAGGACAAGGCCCCTGTGGCACAATAATTTTCAACAATTTCGGTCATTTCTTGAAAATACTCAAATCCTTTTGTCCTAAACTTGTTTACATTTTTTGTAGCCTACAACAATTGAAAATATTGAAAATAAGCATACTATACGTGTGATGAAATGTTACAAAAAAAAAGGTTAATGAAAAACCTTATCCCAAAATTCATCGGGTGCAACAACAGTTCCTACAATGGGATCCCATCCCAGACCAGTCTATGCCTACAGTCGCTTAAAAGCTTGGTAATTAGCTTTCAATCGCTGATATTTTTGTCACACCTGTTTTGGTGTGTATTGAAATCCATAAAGATTTTGCAACTGAGTTGCAAAATGATTCCAATGCCTAATTGTCCACACAGTACTACGACCTGTTGTTTGATTTTTTTGTACCTCTTCTCTCAACATGTTTAATAACTTCATTTCAATTCTGGAACTCCACATTCTTGTATCCTGATTGTCATTTGAATTGTTTCCATCCATCTAAAACACACACAATTTATATCTAAACTAATGTGGATATAAAAAAAATAACAATGCAAAAATCAACCACAATTATGTTTCAGTACGAATCAAAATTAATCGGTTGAAGTTGTTAAATAGTGTTGGGAAAAGCAGATTAATTGAACTTCTTAAATAATGTTGGGCAAAATATATACAACAATAAAAACCAGATAATATTGCCTGCAAAAAGTTTGTGAAACAAGTGTTTGCAGTAGAAAATAACCAGAAATAAGTAGAAGAAGAGAAGCATGAAAGTAGGTGAATGCAGATCGAGACAGAGGTGGGGAAATGATGGCGGTCGATCGGTCGGTTGACCGGCCAGATGACCCGGGGACGACCGGCCAGTTGTCCTGGCTGTTGATCGGCTTAAACAGGTTAGGACAGATCGGCTCAACTTAAATAGATCAGGGCAGATCAGAACCCATTTCGACTTCTCACCACCTATTACATAGCAGATGGATTGAAGGATATACGTACCAGATTAGTAGGAGTGGAATAGTTGTCATCGGTGATGGAATGGGTACAGTGGATGGATGTGCACTTCTTTGGTAATTGTCTGATTCGAGAATAGGTTTGACAAATTTGACCTGAGACAAATAAATTTGGAATAACTTTGGGATGTTTCAGAAAATCAGTGAGCTGTAAAAAAAATTTTGAGAGAAATTTGTGATTTATTTGGCCTCGTTCTCGTCGTTGTTTGATTGCTCAGAGATAGAATCTTCCACAATGCACAAACTGCAACTCACTTGATTTGTGGGAGATGGTATGGGTAGGAAGGAGGTTCACAAACATAGTTTATAAAATGGTCTCAGTTCACAGAAACGAACATGACCCGTGACGAATCATCAGTCGTGATCTTTCAAACAGAGGAAGAATCTTGCGTGATCTTTCAAACAGAAGAAGACGAGAAGTAAAGTTCAGCTGTAAATTTCTTTTTGCACGTGAACCTTTTCAGAAATGAAGAAAACGGAAGACACAGGATGGAAATGTACCGTTGGAAGCTTTTGACAGTGAAGAAATGAAGAAGAAAGCTGCCAAACAAGAAGTGGAAATGTATTTTGAATTATATGATGGAATTATGATTTCAAAATCGTATCCAAATGTGAAGCGCGAATGGAGGGATGGAATTGTATTTTGAGAATGTAACCAAACAGAGCCTTATTGATTGAAAAGGTAGATATTACAAAAATCAAGCAATAAATAAAAGGAAAGTCGGGATGCAGAAAATATCAAAGCAAAGGCAAATACCTCTATCCTAACTAGGCCGACACGAGAAAAAAAAATCTAATAATTTGCAAGCACCACCAAAAATAAACAAAAATATTGGAGAGATTCCAACCCAAACAAGAGTAGCCCCAACACAATAAAAATGTAACATCAAAGCTCCAATCCGAGATCTCAACAGAAACACCCAAGCCGAGATCTCATCAGAAACACCTAAGAAACCATAAATGAATCTGTTACAAAGCACCCAAACTAATTTGGTGTAGATGGAAAATAAAATTAGTTAAAGAATAGTCCTTAAAATTTGTTCTGGCATTGACCCAAAATGCCACTCTCGTCTTGATAAGATCAAGGATTGAATCCCAATTGGGTTGAACATTCTGAAAAGCAAGTTAACTTCTATCCATCTAGATTGACCACAAAGTTGCAAGTGGTGTTGCTTCCCTAATGGCTTTTTCTTTCTTTCCCCTCGATTAAAGTAGGAGTAAAACCTCATATGAACTAATTTAAAGATGTTGTTTGCATATAAGAGATTTCGAACTTGAGACCAAAGAAGAAGCACATCCTAAGCTCTAGGTTTTGACCACTAGATCAAACCCTTGGGCTCAAACAATTTATTATAGTTTAGTACTTAAATTTTTATCAAATAACTTTTCAATTTAAATTATTCAACATTCGATAATTAATTTTTATCTTTCAGTTGTTAGTTTTTAGTATTATCCAACACCTTTAGAAATTAGTTTTTTAGCATTTTTTTCCCGTCTTTTATGAATTTTTTTTTTAAAAAAAAAAAAAACAAATTTACTTTTTTTAATCTTTAGTTAATTTTTTTTTTTCAATTTTTTTACATTCTAGATTTTTTTAAGCTAAACAAATCTAAAAAATATAGGTAGCGTTTGGTAGAGTTCTTGAAATAGGATTTGAGAATAGAGTTGTATTTTGAGTTTGTGAGTTTTGGAATTATGATTCGACTATGAAAAATTTGTTTGGTGAATGAGTTTTGAAAAGAGTTTTGAATTAAGTAGGGAATCTTTTATGTGATATATGATATCTGATATAAAAACATACAACTCATAATCAAACACATAACTCAAAAATCTATTAAAAACTCATAAAAAATTTTAAAAATTTTCAAAAATATTGTTTTATTAAATATATATATATATATATATATATAAACAAGTACAAATTGCCACAAAAATTTTTTTTTTTGCCATGTTCTGATTGACCGGCCGAACGATCGACCAAGCCAAATTTCAAAAAAAAATCTTGCCTGACACAGAGTTTTCTTTTTGTTGTGGAAATATAATTTGAAGATGTATTTAAACATGGCATTAGAATATGGGGGTGGAATTATAGTTTAAAAATCTATCCAAGCAATTTTTGAATACAAATTACGAATAAAAATAAAAACACTCAAAAAATAAAAAGGTGAATTACTAATAGGTCCTGTTATAGGTAGGGCTATGCAAAATAGTACCCAATCTGCTAAAAATCTCACCAATCCTCATACCGCTCTATTTGCTAACCGCGAGTTAAACTTTAAAATTTATAATCTACCTTCAAAATTGTTCCGCTCTGCTATATAATTGATATATATTTTTTAATCTATAATGAAATATCAAAGTAAAAATAAGTGTGAGAGAGATTTTGTACGGGGAGCAAATATTTTATGCTGTCATGCTCCTTACGTCTAAGCTTCGCATTTCTCCGAGCAATGTCGTCGACCTTGAAAACACAGCGACAATGAGCTACCTACCGGGTGTATTGCTAGAAAACCCCTTCAACGATCAAGTTAACACTCACAAAGTTAGAAGTGGACAAAAGAGAAGACAGCTCTGTGTCAAACGATTAAAGCCCTGTTACATGGAGGCGCCGTAGGGTTTATATAGTTTGTGTGCGCGTTACCCTGCTCGTCCTCTCTTGGGCACGTGGACGTACTATCCTCTCTTCATCTTACACGTGTGTGTGTGTGCACGATAATATTGCCAAACAGTATCGACAAAACAACCAAACAGTATTGATGTGCACAAATAGTGGATTCCCCCCTCCGGTCTTCAATTAGGTCACCTGGAAGCTCTTGCCGAGCTATCCACAATCTAGCGCGTGGTTGTCTATTCCAAGACCAGCTTCTACCAACCGGCCTAGCCCTGAGATGCCCAACCAGCCAACTTCAGCTCAGTCTAGCCAACTAAACTTCCTTTAGTTCTATACCATGGTCCACCTCTGTTTGGACCACCACAGCTCGGTGAGGTCGGTGAGGTCTATCAGCAGATCACCTTAGCTGAGATGGTAGAGCTCGATCAACCCTATTGGCGAAGTATGTCCATTTCAGTCTGGCCCAACTAACCATAAAGCGATGGGCCAAGCTCAGCTCATCACATTAACAACTCTGCCCATTTACACATTCAAAACTCTCATATCAGATTTAATATGTGAAATTTATTACAAATTAGTAGTTATATATATAAAAAAAATATTATACAAATTAGTGTTAGATATTATGTAAAGGCTTGATAATTGGTTAGAATATTCTTCAATATGCTAATCCGTCCAAAATCGCTCAAACTGCAATTTGTTAATCCGCCAATTCTCTAATCTGCCATTTGGTTTAGAACTTTATTATCAAACCTCCTGAACTGTACCGCGCACACCCCTAGTTATAGGAACATGTGCACCCTTAATTCTCATAAGTGTTTATATAGATAGAAAAAAAAGAGTCTTAATAGTTGACCTTAAAGAAATTTTGTGACGATTTTATGCATCTGTCGAGAAAAATTGACTATTAGTGATAATTTTCTAAATATGTCCCTAAAAATTGACAATTGATATCTTTTTATGATGAATTTTTCAAATTGTAACTAAAAATTGACAATTAATAACACTTTTTATAAAAGGGCATTTGATCCATAAATCTAATTTTGATTTTTCTTTATCTAAAAGTTCACACCCTAAAATACGTTGTCTATAAAGACAAGTGCCAGCTAAATGACTAAATATATGAATAATGCTAGAAATCTCAAAAATTCTATTAAAATTTTTACCAAATGTCTCGTATGAGTGTGAGACTTACCCACACTCATGTGAGACTTTTGATAGAATTTTTGAAATTTCCAACATTTTGTATATATATATTGTTTAAGCTTCCTTCTCACTGACAGAATCAAACCTAACCTCTCTCTCTCTCTCTCTCTCTCTCTCTCTCTCTCTCTCTCTCATCACTATCTGAACCACCACCATCGCCGCCCTATCCTCCACCTCACCCGCTCCGCGATCTCAACCGCTACCATCGCAGCTGCCAAAGGCCACTAAGACTCTTTTGGTGGCTTCAGTGAAAGCAACGACTCACGCTCTTGAAGAAGTGCGAAAATATAGCAATAGGAGTGCATTTCTCAGTCTCTAAAGCCTCAATCTCAAGCCTCTACATTGCCATCAAGAGCAACATCGACGTTGAGTCCGTGCTCGAGGAAGTCAGTTTCTCCACCGCCAAATAAGAAATAGAAAAAATCAACCTCCCCTAATCAAATCCCGAGATTCATCTTCGAAGAAACTCCACTCGATCTAGATTCGATAATAAAGAAGATCAAGAAGAATAGGAATCGGACGGTTGAATTGGCTGCTTCGAGTGGTGGAGCACTTGCTCTTCCTGTTCTATGTTACAAGGCTCTGTTCCCGATTAGAGTTTCGATCACCATCGCGCGTACACCTCCTCAGATCTGAGCGATCATCCCAAATATGTGACAATCCCAGACCTACGTCTCAGTCTGGTGAACGACAAGAAAGATCTGCTGTTCAGTTCTGTTGTTGTAGATCTATCTCGACGGCGATAATAAAAGTACTGGTGGTTGGCAGCGGCAGTGGCAACGGAGTTGGTCGAGAGGGATTGAAGGATTTGGAATCAGATGAGGAGCTATGGGTTAATATTGAAGGTCTCCTCTCAAGACTCGAAAATCAAAGCTTTTGTTGGATTCACGGTGTTATGGTGTCAAATCTTCTGACAATTCCAATACTGAAGAGAAATTCAGACTACAAAAGGTATGAAATCAATATTTTCTGGAAAAAATTGAAATAAAATAGAAAAAAAAAATGAAGTTTGATCTTTGCAATTTAGGTGATGATTTGTTTTGCTTCGATATTGCAGTTTCACAAATTGTTTTTTGGCAAATCGATTTCTCTTGAAAAGGTAATGATTTCTCTTGTTGGGATGTGGTTGTGGTAGTGGTTGTTGTTGATTTTAATAGATAGTGGCGTTTAATTTTTTTTTCATTTTTTGGATATGGCTTGTTGTTGATGAAGGTTTTTCTTTTTCTTGATGTTATTTTTGATGATTCCAATAGATAGTGGTAGATACTTCTATGTTATTGTTGAACAGATAGATCTATTTGTGCCTCCACACAGATCTGTTTGTATCTCAAGTAGTGGGGGTGTGTGTAGGTTGGACCACTCATCTTCTCATCCCAACAGATAAGATTTGACTTGGCTTGCTATTTCAACAAATAAGATTTGGTAAAAAAAAGTTGAACAGAGAATTTTGATAGATAAAATTCAAAGAAAAAATTGAACTAATAATAAAATTTGGACAGATAGACAAAAAATTTGAATAGATAGACAAAAAATTTGGACTGATAAAAAAATTCGAACAGATAGATATAAATTTGAACAAATAGTTAATGAAAAGTTAAGCAAATAAAAAAAAGTTAAGGGGTAAAATTAGAAACAAAATGTCCTTCAGGATTTTTCATCAAACTATTTTACAAAATATTTAGACCTAATGCCTTATACAATTGTTAGAATGGATTTTTCATCAATTTTCTCTAAAGACGTTGCTTAAAAAAATAAAAAAAGAATGTTTTATTGACAATGAAAAGTAAACATGACTCTTTTGATGTAATATCTTCTTAATAGGACTTTTTAATCCCTTCTCAAAAATAAATAAATAAATAAATAAATAAATAAGAAGTAAGTTTTTCACCAATTCCTAGTAGCTCGAAAGATTGAGCCACAATTTGGCTCAAATTCTATTTGGGCATCCATCTCACCAAATCAAAGTCATCTTAGCAATTCTTGTCATCTATAACTTCCAAAAAATTATAAATTAACCCAATAAAAAAAGGAAAAAAATAAAATAATAATAATAATAATAATAATAATAATAATAATAATAATAATAATAATAATAATAATAATAATAAAAAATAAATAAATAAAAATAATAAAATAAAATTACAAAAATTATATTTTCAAATAAACTTAAAATTAGTAATTATATGCTTTTAATTACAACACTTAGAGTTGAAATAAAAAAAAAATTAGATTATATTTTTGAACTAGAAATTGAGTTAAATAAATTATATTCTCTTTTGGCTATTGCCTCAGGACAATCCATAGTAAATTATAGCCAAAGAATTACTACTATTAAAAATAAAATATCATTAGAAAAGGCAAGTGTATATTATCAACGAAAACTATTACAGGAGTCAATATTAAATTAGATGTTAAATTAGATCTGTCACAAATTATTGGTATCAGAGCCCAGTTTCTCGGCCTTGCCAATATCTTTTGTATGAGTATTAAATATAGTGAAGAAGTAAAATCTGATGATTTAAATAACAATACTTCTTTACAAATAATAATAGAACAAAATAATACCTTAATTAGGCTATTAAAAGAAATTAACGAAAAACTTCGAACTAATCAATTAAAAATAATAAATAAAATTAGACATTTTGTACAAGGTCCAGAAAAACAAGTAGCCTTTTTTGAAGAAAAACAAAAAGAATTAGACTTATATCTTCATCCATATAAAGGAAATGATCCAGAAGGACCGTTTGAATTAATCTCACCTGCAAAATAAAAAGATAATGGAGTTAAGTAATTATAGCTTAAAACAGTTAGAAGAAATGGTTAAAAAAGAAAATGATAGTGAAATAAAATACAAAATAATATTACAAATAGCTGAATTATTAGATATGGTGGGTGAAGAAATAATAAAAGAAATCAATAATGAAAGAATAGAACTAGAAGAAGATATCTATAAACAATTAGGATTAATCAGCTTGGAAGAAATGGAACACATTCCCGTAGAAGAATTAGAACAAGTAATGGGAAATAATGACGCAGAAAAAGAAAAAGAAAAAGAAAAAGAAAATAATGTAGTAGAAAATTTCGAAGACATAGAAAAAGATAATGCTTTAGAAGAAGAAACTAATAATGTTAATGATATGGATATGACAGTAGTAAAACAAGAAGGAAGTAGCTCGTCCGCCCCACCTAATCCAAATCATCTAGATTTTAAAAATTTTACCAGACAATAGCTAGAAAATGATACCAGAAATTATGAATATAGAAGAAGAACGGGACATTATAGTTATATAGAGGGTCTTTTGTTAGAGGAACATCAAATTATGCTGGTTTTACCGCTAGATAGGAAGTATTCTTACGGGAAGTACCATTAAAACCAATAAGTAATACAGGGTATTTATTAGATATTGATTGTGCTACAAACACAAGTGAGGTAATAAAACAATGGAAGAGAGGCATGCACATGTCTTAAATATCCACAGCAATAATTGGAGCGCGCAAATTTTTCTAAATTATATTGAACATAGCCTTACGGGTATAGTAGCAAGCTGGTATGACAATCTAAGAGAAAGTGACAAAGAAAAATTAACAACAGAAACTACCCTAAAAGGTATGCTAAACATATTCGTAAAATATATTGAAGAAGAATTCATTGGAAAAGAGTGGGATGAAGATAAAAGAAAAAGAAAATGGGTCAGAAAATTAAGTAACATAGAAATATTTAATATGGAATATATGTGAATACTCCTATTATTATTATTATCAAATAGGTAGAAATAAAATTCATTTAACCATGTTTTTTCATAAATTACCATATCCTATAAATGTTAATATTGAAGAAAAATATGAAAAATGGTTAAAAGAATTAGGAGATGTCACAAGTGACACCTTAGGTCATAGAATTAAATATCTAAGAGAATGGGTAGAGTATGAATGCATGAAAATGAAGCAAAGAAGAAAATGAAAAACAATATTTACATTGTTGGCAAACATCTAATTCATGGGGATGTGGGCATTCAAGAAGAAAAACATATAATAAGAAAAAGAAAACATTTTATAAAAGAAAAAGTTTTAATAAGCAAAGAGAAGAACAATATAAAAGAAAATATTATAAAAAAAACCCTATAATTTCAACAAAAGAATAAGGTTTTTTAGAAAAAAATAATTATTGTCCAGAAGGAAAAAGATCTGTAAATGTTGGGTATGTAGAGAAATAGGCCACTTTGCTAATCAATGTAGAAATAAAAAGAATAATAAAATAATATAAGCCTTAGGAAGTCTGGATTATGTGGAATTAGAAGAAGAAGAAGCTTTAGAATTAACTTTAGAAAATAATAAAGGAATAATCAAATTAATTGAAGAAGAAATAGAAATTATAGCAATTCCGGTTTTGACCCGACCTTATTATATTCCGGACTCGGGTTCCGTGGTTGTATGTTGTTGTCCATGTCTCGTTTTCCTCCTTTAACTCTTTGAATTTGAGCTTTGGAATCTGTTGGGCGTATTTGGGGCAGGTTGGTTGTTAGTTGGTCTAGATCGTTGTTGCCCAGATTTTCGCTTCTTCGCTCGAGCGAGGCTTTTTTGCGCTCGGACGAGCCTTGTGAAATTTTCTCGTTCGCTCGAGTGAGGTTTCTTGCACTCTAGCGAGAATTGAGAGTCCTTAGGTTTCTTTCCCAAATGCAGAATTTCTGGGAAGGTGAAGTGTTTTGTTCGAGCGAGACTTCTTGCGCTCGAGCGAACGTGTGCGTCTATAAAACTTCTGAAGCTTTGCATTTTCTGCTCGAGCGACACTTCTTGCGCTCGAGCGAGGTCCCTTGTTGTGTCTGGTCACTCGAGAGACAACTCCTTCGCTCGAGCGAAGGTCGTGTATATCAGTTTGCAACAGCTCATTCTTACATTGAAATTTTATATCTTTTTGCCCCAAAACCCTAATCTGACACACACACACACACACACACACACACTCTCTCTCTCTCTCTCTCTAAAACACTCTCTCTCTCTACAAATACTCCATGATCTAAGGGTCTCTTCACCCTACTCCATTTGATAAAGAGTTAGAGCATCTTGTGGGCTTCCTCTTGAAATCGAGTTTGGACGACTTTGATGTTCTTCTTCATCTCCTTTGAGCTTCTACACTTAAGGCAGGGATATTCTATACCTTGTTATAGTTTTAAACCTAGGTATTTGTCATTTTGTATAAATGGTGGAATTTGGAAGGATTTGGGTAAAGTTAGGGTTTTAATATCAAAAGTTAAAGAGGGGTTTTCCATGTTGGTCTATAAAACTGCCTATGGGACATTGTGTATGAAGTTTTCTAGTGTTAAAATGGTGAAATTTGGCCTTGGGGTTAATATTTGGGAAAGGGGAAAAATTTCCCTAATTTATGTTGAATTATATTTTGTCTATATAATGAAATTGCTATGGGAAATATGAAACTGGGAGGATCTGTGAATGAATGGTGTAATGGGATTTGATAAATCACTCACCTATGAAAAGTTTGATAAATTATCTATTTGATGAATTGTACATCTGTTTAGAAATATCTATTTTGGGCTATCGATGAGGATAGCTATGATTGTTGTAGAAACTGTATGAGGACTAGGTGAATTGAAACTGGTCATTTGAATTATGTCATTGAATATGACGGTTTGATTAAACCATTGAATATGTGATTTGGATGGTCGTTGTGTATGACAACGTCTTCAAAAACATTGTATATGTATCTTTGTTTGAGAGGAGATAGGGGATGTACTCCATTGTTTGTGAGGAGATAGGGGATAGACTTCATTTTAAATTAAGTTGGCCGAAGTGTCCAAGGTGAAAGTCCTGAAACCTTATATGTGTATATTTCGGTGTCGATTCCCTCGGACGAGAATCCGTAAAATGGCAAGAAGTTTACAGTGTTTGAATAATGAATGTTATTGAATTGTGAATGAATGAGTTGTAGTCTCATTTGGGATTGTTTAGATGATAAGGAACTACATTTACGCATTGATTTGAAATGAATGAATGGAAATGGATCAAGATGGGATTATCAATATTGAATGATAATGGGGAGAACGTAAGTTGGCCTTGAGTATTGGACTTCTATTTGACGTTTATATCTTAGTTAAATCTCATATGTTGTGTTAGTTTATCTCTGCTAGGCTTTGGCTCACTTTACTTAGGAAACCATTTTCAGGTACTGGTGATAGGCCACCTCCAAGGACATAGCTTGGGAGGACTAGGGACTGATGGCTCTGTTTTTGTTACATTTATGCTTAAATGTTTATTCAAGCCGAGGGCTTTACATGTATAGAGCTTAAGACTCTTTTGTTGTAA